ATCCCAAGACTTACATGAAAGTTGTGAACCGCACGTGTAAATGTATTAATTAATCTAATACAGTAACAGTTCTTATGTATCCATATGCGTTTCTGTAATCTGTGACTTCTAACGTTTTGAAAAATTATTTATAAGTTGAAATTCGAGTCTAATTTTCAGAAGAAACAGACAACAACAAGCATATTGTGAGTGACAGAACGCAACTTTATAGATTTCCGGTAAGTGTGATTAGTTCAAACAGAACGGTTGATTTCCAATTTTTCAAAAGAAGTTCTTCAATTATAACAAACGCCTCATAAAATTGTGTCAAGATTTAAACCATCTATCCTACGTTCAGTCGACTACAACCACAAAACAGTTTTTGAGAAACCTTTTATTTTGCTTTCATGAACTTAATCATATAAGACGACTCATTATATTTCAACGAAAATGTACATAAAGTTAAGCTCGAATGCAGAGCTGATATTAGAACTAAGCTTTCGTTAAGCCCTTTCCTTTAATTTTAAAACATTCATTTGCAGTCACATACTCAAGAATTTGGAATTTATTTTGAAGAATTACGGAATGTAGAACCAAACGATATCTGGAAAGGAATATTTCAAACAGATGCCAAAGTAGCAATATTTATTCTAGACAATATGGTAAGAAGTATTTATTATCCTTTGAAAACTCATCTCATGATATTGACAAGTGTTTCAAGGGGCAAATTTGCTCAAAATCAAGAGAAATGTGTTCTTAAAATATCTGGAAGTTCAAACTTGAAGTATAATTTCTGTTAATTCTAGTTAAAAGGTTTACGTAATCATTTTAAAGCCGTTACTGTTTTTGGTTGGTGTCGGAAAACAAATGTACGAATTTTAACAAACTAAACGCCTAATATGACTCCTATATATTCTGAAGGTTTCATCCTAAAAAAATAGTCAATATAATGCCAAAAAGAAAGTCGACACTTAAAAAATTTGGAAACTCCATTTTTAGACTTTTATTGATCAAAAGTAAATATTCTTTACATTTTTAAAGCATTCAGTTGTAGTCTGTCCAGATATAGGATCTGAAGAAACTCGTGGTGAATTAGTGATAGAAAACAAATCAGAGGAAAACCTGAGTCCAACTTTGAATGTTGCCAGAATATTAGTGAAAACAAAGGTAAAATTGCATTCTCCTTTGCCATCTGAATTCAATTTGATTAAGAGAAGCACTTGTACGAATTGAGATATACTTGGATATACTATAAATCTTGGAGGTCGTAGGATCTGGTGTTTATTATCCCTAATTAGAAACCTTTATAAACATTAGTATGAGTTAAAAATGTGTTGGTGGAATTTATTCTCCTGAAAGTGTCAATAAAGAGTCAATGTCATTAGAAAAGAATTCTGTGTTGTTTTGCAGGGACATCCTGAACTAGAAATGAATGTGTTAATATCAAATCTTGATAAAAGGAATATGAAGAAGCCCATTGTTTTTTATAAACATATTTTGGATATCATAGAAAAGATGGAAAGTTATCAGAATGATTTACAACCAATTTTTATATTTGGAAGGTAAGATCAACATCAACCTACTGTATCAACATGCATATACTACAACCAACACATATGTTTTGGATAACCTGTATAAAATGTTATATTTTATTTAATGATACAACAAATCGATATTTTATGCTTTTAATAACATAGCAATGGGTGTCCTTGCATTGTACTTATGTTTCCTATGTTATATCGACGTTTAAATTGTAATGTCTTCTAGCACTAGTACGCCGATTATATATTTATTCTCTCTATTGTTTAAAGATTCAATTTGAAATTTCTGTGCAGCCGTCAGAATTTTCTTTTAGCCGTTACAATTTGGGTTAAAATAGAGCTAAGATATGCGATCCATATTTGGTTTAATCGCCAGAGTCCAATTGGAAATAAGTGTACTAGTATACTAATTATTCCAGAAAAAATTATGATAAATTATTTATTCATATTTCGCCTTATTTTTATATTTCAGCGATTCACAATATTCTCGAATATTTTGTACTCTACACAACATTGTACAGAGAATAAGGCTGGATAATGAGGTAGAAATATTCAAAGCTGTACGAAAAATGCATCGTCGGATTGGAAAAGTTATCAATTCTCAGGTAAGATTGTTCTGCTTTCCTAATCAAATATTAGAAACTAACACACAGTTTATGCTGTCAGCATTGACTTCAAGTTGCTCACTTACTGGCATTAGATTTTTAAGTAAGTTGGATCATTTTAAGTAAAATTTCCACATCACTCCTTCCGCCCACTTTTTCTTAATCACAACTTCACTTAGTACGATTTTTTATATTATTTTAGGAGGATTACAATGCTCTTCACGATATAGTTGCTAAATACGTGAAATCTAGAAATACCTATGTTAATCTATAGAAGAATACTCAAGTTGATAAAATTTTTATGACAACTACGCTGTCTCATGTATATATACAATTATTAATTTGACTTGATACATTTTTATGTTCATGCATGTTAGTCTATCTGTCTTAATTCCACCGTTACCTTTTTGATATCATCTAAAAAAAATTATAGTTTCAATTTTTATTCAGTTATTTAAATAGATTTGCTCTAGCTTTTTATTGATTATTTTTATTGATTATTTTTATTGAATATTTTTCATTGTTATCTTTTTTTATGCATTAAGAATAATAAGATACGCTCATGTCGACTGACGATTCTCATTGGTCGCTATCTGCATCAATTTCAAACTGAATATCTGTCATCTGGTTGCCCAATAATCAAATAAAGAAGACACGAATCCCACAATCAGACACTAATCCCATAAGAATCTGATTCAGATATTACTTGTTTTTTTCATAAATTTTGAATTGAGCTCATTCCTCTAATGATCGAACATTAAGATGAACGTGTATGTAATTCAAATAATCAGTAAGACAACTGTTGTATATAGAAAAGAGTTTACCACTAAATTAAAGCAATGGTCACTGTGACTAGATTCTTTAAAATCCAGTTGCTCTCAGATTCTGTCACCTTGTGTTTATTGCCACATGGGGTTGTCTATTCTTTATATGTGCATCAGAGATATGTAAACCTTCTAAAGTACCTGATATTTTGAAGTCGCAAAAATTAGGAAAATATTGATCAGATTACGACATTTGTATTAGCTTGTTTCTTGGTTTTGTCTTGTGTTTTTTTTTAATAAATTACATAATTATTTGTTTTACAAGTTTAGGGAATTTTTGTTTTATGTTTCAATAATTGAATGTCTGTTTATGTATAACTTTTTTTTTGATAGCCAATAAATACAATTTTTATTATAACATTTTATGTTTTATTAGTCACCATATCAGTAATATCGCAAACATTACGACTTGCTTTTTTTTAGAACAACGGAACACGAGAATTTCCTCACGCTGCTTGGTCTGAGGTTCAACAAGTTTTTGAACACTCCTTATTTTTAAATCATTTCGTGAATTGGGATGAGAATCGCACCCAGAATCAAACGTATCGTCTCCTAAACACATTCAGGATTAGGACATATTTCTACTGTCTTCCACTTGATCAGGTATATCTCATATTTCGTCATTTCGAAACAGACCAATAATCACGCTTGCGCGTAGACAATTTTAAAGCTTGTTTTATAAATGTGAACACACGCACAGGAAAGATGTTAATATTATGACACTGACATTTTAAGCGAAAAAAAACAATTTTGAAAATTTGAGTTTAAACGTTGACGTGGAAGATATAGGTGGGTTTTTTTTCTACAGAAAGGTTTTTTTTTTTAACGTTTTGAATCTAGTCTTCTCGTGCAATTTTTAGCTACCAGTTCAATGACAACAGTTTAACGAAAGCTTGTCTTAAACATAGGTTACTGAAGGAGAGATATACCACTTTTTGAAAACAGTTTAATTAATCCAACTCGACAAAGTTGCCAAAAATATTCCATAATGTTAAGAAAAATATTCAAAATATACAGAAAGCAACCATGAATAATTGTTTATCTCACTTGCACCAAACAGTTTTAAGCGATAGTAACAATGGCAACAAGCTACGTGTTAATCAAATTTAGGGTATGTCGGTTTAGGTGCGAAAGTGATTAGCGCCTTTGGCCTATAGTTTCATACTGCGCTTTAATATTGGGTTAGCAGTCTACGTGTACATAGGCAAGGAATTTTTGTGGTTTTGGATTTCTAAGGTAATTGCATTTTTCATAATACTATTTCTATGATTTCTTCCCCCGAAAAGAACTCAAGATTGGATCAGTTTTAACTTGGATGACTTAAAATTTTCCCTTGAAACGACGTTTTATTCTCTGTAAATTATGATTAAGTAAGATTGACTAAGTAACATGTATTCGCTGATTACCTATGTATTGCAATTATAAGTATACAATTTTGTTAATTTCCTCAGTTTCTTGCCATTTTCACTTCATGTTATTGCCATCGTTTCGGTTCCCTTTTTAAAACTTTCCCCCTTGTACAAAATCTAGTCTTGGATTTCTAACTTTTTGGTTTAAATTTCAGTGGAGGAGAATGTCGTGGCTCCTCAAACGAAATAAGGTTATACCTGAAAAAGATGACGAATCCCAAAGCCGTTTTTCATTATCTTCATTGTCACCATCTGAAATAAATGAAGCCATCAACAATATGCTAGAAATACGGCCAGCTCGGAACAAAATGGAATATGCCTGCAGGGGTAAGATTTGAACTTTTAAGGAATTTAAATTACATTATTCATGTATTTAGACACAAATTCTTTCTCATGGGAAGACTCATCGAGGTAGGCACTGACATGCTAACCTAGATGTCTGGAGTTTAAGCATATAGATGGTCGGAGAGGGGGGCTGTCATGGAGGGCTGGTCTTTCAAATGGGACAAGAAATCGAGGATGTAAACATTACAGATCCCTAGTTCCACGCATAGGACACTATAAGGCAATGTTCGTCGTCCCAATTTGGATCTATGAGGTAAGACGTTCAACATTTTCATTGTAAATCCACTTTTAGGTAATCCCATCACCACTTCCGGTAAAAGAACACAGCTTGTGAAAATGGTCTGTATCGTTATGATTCCGGTAGCAGTTCTGACTGGTTTGACCGCCAACACATTCTTCAACACCTTCACCAGCTACATGTCCTCGGGCATCCGAAACACCATCTTATTCAGTGTGGAATTAGGAGAAGTGGTACACAGCTTGCAGAAAGAAAGAGACATGAGTGCTTTGTACATCAGTAAAATAAGTCCTGTATCCAAATCCTTCTTGCTACAGAGGTACCCGGAAACTGATCGCTCCATTGAAAAATTAACATTTTGGACGACGTTGTCACAGCTTGAATTTCAATCCAAGGATAAGTTTTTGTCGTATCTCAACCAACATAGGTAGGTTTTACTGATGTATTTGGGATGGGGTTATATTGGTAAACTGAAAATAAGGGAATTGTCAGAGCAGTAGATGTTTGCACTGCCGTAAGGAAAAGGAGATCGCTCTGCAATGCGGGTTTCTAGCTAGAATGTGTCTTATAGAAACACGCTACACTAATCGAAATTGGTACATGAGGGAATATGTAGGCTTATTTTCTTTCAATTTCAACAAGATCAAACAAGTACTTATTACGGGAGGAATTATTTTCCAGATATGAACTCGATACCTTAAACCAGACAGTGACCATGGAACTTGGACTGTACACAACACTTATCCGAGTCTTCATCAAGTGGCTGTACGATACCATGCCTGAAGCAGAGTCGGGCTTCATTTGGAGAAGTCTGGTCGCTTACTTAGAAGTTATAATAGTAAAAGAATACATGGGATTAGAACGTGCTCTGGGGATGGTATTTTATGCCAAGGGAAAGTTTCCCTCAAATGATGTCTATCTGTGGTTTTCGGAGAGTCAGGACGTGTCGAACGCGACGTTTCTATCTGCCAGAAGATATTCTGATTTAGTTGCTACTTTGTACAATAAGAATATCAAGGTAGGGCCACACTAGCAGTTCATTCGTCACCTTTACAAAATATTCAGTACATGGGGTACAGTATTGAAATGATTTAAGCATTCTCTTCATCTGGTTGGTCAATTACTTAAAAGGTTTTTTTTTCTCAACCAATTACATTACCTAAATTATGAATTTTAGGTAAATATTTCGAAATCAATGCTCCTGGTCGACAACACGGGATTCTTGTAGTCCAATTTTGTCTGGTTGCTGACCTATTTTTTTCTAGATCATAGAAATAATTATTAAGCCCTAAAAAATCAAATTATTATATCAACACTGGAGTTCAGGGAAAGGAAGGTTTGATATCTCCCGGCCTTGTAGTGCTTCTAATACTTTATATTAGATGAGGAATATAGAAGGCGTAAGCACTGTCGTATGTATTCACCCTTTGATTTTCATTTCTCGCTTCACAGGGTAATGAAACTATTTTGAATGTCCTTGGACGAATGAGAGCTGAAATAAGACGTAACGACCTTGCTGGACGAGGATCGATCAAAATGGCAGAATGGTGGTATAACAACATGACTGTTTATATGGATCTGTTGCTCGAGACACAATCTGAGCTATCTCAGGAGATTACTGGGCTACTTGATGAGAGACAGAAGGCAAATCTTCAGAAACTTATAGCAATCTCGATTGTATTTGTTTGTGTGTTCGTCATCTGTCCTATCATCATTTACGCAGCTTATACTCTAACTAACGAGATCCAGAAATACTCCATTTCACTGGCAAACAGGTACGTCAACAGCATCTTTAATGAATTAAGGTTTCCCCAAACCTCTTGTATATTGTTTTAGTTTCGGAAAAGGATATTAGTTGAAAAATACGGCAAAAATTATTTGGTTATCATTACAAAAGTGTCTCCAAGGAATTGTGATTAAATTTTTTGCTTTGAATTAGAATATTAGCGCTACTTTGATATTCCTTATTTTAGTAAATCTTAATTCGGATTCGATCTATGATTAATATCACTATGAAATTTTGTATATAAATTTCATGTTGTGCCCAGAATGATATTACGAACGATATAGATAACTTCGTATAATTTAGTCATAAAGTTATCAAAATATATATCTTTACAGAACCAAAGCCTTCAACAAAGAAAAGAAGAGAACAGAAACGTTGCTGCATCAAATGTTACCCAAGTCTGTTGCAGACAAGTTAAAAGCAAACACAATTGTGGATCCAGAAAACTTCGAAGAAGCAACAGTGTTCTTCTCAGATATACAAGGGTTCACTCAACTCTCTGCCCGTAGTTCACCAGTTCAGGTGGTCGAGATGTTGAACAGCTTGTACTCTTGTTTCGATGGTCGAATTGCTCTATATGATGTGTATAAAGTAGAAACAATTGGCGATGCCTATATGGTCGTTTCGGGTAAGGATTCCTTGAATTAAACCATTTAATGTAGTGAGTTGGCTTACTTGAATCGTGACACTCATGTCCAAATTATATTGGAACGAAATGGTTGAGGTCTGGTCAAAATGTTAACTGGTTGTTCGTCCAAACAGAGAAATTTTGGATTGTTCTACTTGTGAGGAAACTTTTTATCCATATAAAATGTCACCTTCACGTGTAAGCTTTGTGTTGTACCAGGTTCTAAAAACGTCAACACATAGAGTGACCTACATGAATTTGGTCAGCCTAATTTAGTGTTTGAAAATTTCAGGAGTACCAAAGAGGAATAATAAGCAGCATGCAGCAGAGATCGGAACCATGTCATTGAGTTTATTGGATCATATCAATAGATTAGAGATACCCCATTTACCTGGTACTAAATACAAATTGCGTATTGGTATTCATACTGGTAAGATTGGTTTTTGCAGCTAAATTGGATCCGGTATCAAAATTTCTTTTCTGGAATTGAAGGATATAGCAGTCCAATTATTCTATAACTAGCTAATTAAGAGTTAATCACTACAATATCAATCTCTTCAGATTGAAAATCCTTCCTCGAAGTAATTGAATAAGGCGACTGAGCCTAATGATTTGTCCAACCAGAGATGACAAAAATACATAACTCCTTTCCTGGTCTATAGACGGGCAATAAACTTCTTCACCGGCTAATGAAAAGTTCAGTACTAATGTCACTCTGCAGAATGAAAATCCGACCTCATGTCTGCATGTTCTGAAATATATAATCCTCAATGTCGCTTGAGCTTTCACGGGTTTTCTTGAAATGGAAAGTGATGAGGGAAATTGAGCTTCCAAGGACTGGTAGAGTATTTAAACTATGCAGGGTATCCAATGCTACTCAGTCAAATCAGAATAGTAAAGAGCCTATTTCGAAATTATTGATACTATTAACATGTTTAATTGATTAAATTAGGTCCAGTTGTGGCAGGAGTGGTGGGAATGAAAATGCCACGTTATTGCCTGTTTGGGGAAACTGTCAGTATTGCTGCTAAAATGGAATCATTGGGAAAATGTAAGTTTTTGGTTTAATTTACTGCTTTACATTTCTTGTTTTGATAGGTAAAACATTTGATATATTTCTTATTTGTTATAAATTAAAACCTATTGGATAAAACTTTCATCAAAAATTTCATATATTTATCCAATATGTATCCTATTTGATTTACTTTAAAACCTATTAGATATATCTGTCTTATTTGATTTAATTTAAAATCTATTGGATATATCTGTCCTATTTGATTTAATTTAAAACCTATTAGATATATCTGTCCTATTTGATTTAATTTAAAATCTATTGGATATGTCTGTTCTATTTGATTTAATTTAAAACTTATTAGATATATCTGTCCTATTTGATTTAATTCAAAACCTATTAGATATATCTGTTCTATTTGATTTAATTCAAAACCTATTAGATATATCTGTCCTACTTGATTTAATTCAAAACCTATTTGATTTAATTTGAAAAGCAATCACATATCGGTTCTGTTTAATTTTATACATCTGTCCTATTTGATTTTATTTCAAACCTATGTTATATATCTGTCCTATTTGATTTAAAGCCTATTTTATTTATTACTAGCTGGTAGAATACATATGAGCTACAGCACAAAAGAATCTTTACAGATGATGGGAGGATTCACGATGGAGGAGCGACAAGATGACGTTTGTAGGGTGGGTCAAGTTCCTTTAAAAATTTATTTCATATCATTTTGCAGTAGACTAGGAGCATTGCCAATTTCCAATTTCATCAATGTATTGGCATCTCCATGAAATACATTTTAACGGGTTTAACTAGCCATTATGTATGATGGTTATATCTTTTGTATGGAAGAGTATTATGCCCTGATAATACCACCGTGTTAGACACATCTGGATGTTCATATACCTAATGTGTTAATTACTCAATTCTCATATCTATAGCAACAACTTGTTTGTCACAGCCCTTTTGATAATTATATCAATATGTGAACAAAAATGAAATAAATCCAGACATTTCCATTTGAGTCTTTCTAGCAAAATAAAAAAAATCTTAATTTTTTATTCTTAAACATAATCACATAAGTATAGTGAAGATGTTTCTTTTTAACTAATGTATATCGAACTCGATCGATCTTTATCGGACATGATTGACTATAAGTATCACTATCCATAATGTCGTACCTATTCTGATTAAATGATTTGTAGTCTAGTTTTTTTCCACTTTACTAGTATTAACCCCCTTTGTACAATCGGCAACACAAACAGACTCAATGTTTCATTACAGCGTGACAGAGAATTAGTAATGTTTCTTAGAGGATGTCACAACACCTATTGGTTGACACACAATGAGGGCCAGATAAGACCTTCTCGAGAAAGCACGTCGACATATTCCATGGATGAAAATTTAGATGAAAAGAATTATGAATTATCTGGTAAGTTTAGTGAATTTGCTCATTTGGAACTATTCGACGACGCTTGTGTTAATCATGACATTGGGTGGAAGAAAAAAGGCACCATGTTATGGTATAGTACAGGTGTCACCCTGCGTGATTCAAGTCATCATACCATTTGATTACAATCCTGTATCAGGCCCTCTATTTTTAGTTTCAGATGAACCACGAGGGAAGGCTATCAACTTACTATAGATGTCGGTATCAGAATGTTAAACATCATACCAATGATCGTGTATGGACTAATCTTCGATATTCCGATACTTGACAAACACAATCCTTGTATAACAGATCCAGATGAGTTAAAAGGTAACCCTCTTGTCTTAGACAAGGATATAAACTTGGACTTTCAGTTGAATTTTGTGTTGTGACGATTCTATCACAAATGGACAGAAAGGGAAAAGGGTTCTAGGCCATCTGCTGTTACAACTGTGGAGGACAAAGAAATACTGGATGGCCTATATTAACATAATTTCATTGGAATGGGACACAATAATTTGTAAGTGCTTTACGATAACTATGCTGGATTAAAATTTGTACAAAATATTTAATTTCTTGTAATGTTATATTGAAATATTTTACGATTAAATGATCTACATGTCGTCTGTTTTTTAATAATACTTTATTGAAGTTATCTCCCTTTATTAAATAAATTTGCGTACAGAAGGACACAGGTCGTTTACTTTATCAGATAGCGCTGGATTTTATTACCTCGACATAATATTAATGGAAATGGTGTCTTTTAGAGTTGATATCAAGTCAATCTAAAACGCAATTTCTGCAGTTATCAGTTGTGGACAAATTTGATAAACGATTAAACATAAGAAGGCGCACTACGTTATCTAATGTGCTATAATGCGAAATATTATCAGGGTAGAGGCATTAGTCTACTTTTTTCCATTTCATATTTATTATGAATGTTAATATCAGTGAAAGCTAAATACTACGAAGTGTGAAAATTATGTTTCAGATAGTACGTTCATCCTTTATTGACCGGTTGGACCATATGGAAATTAAATTAGGCGCACTATCATATTTCCATGCGATTAGTTTTTTACTTGCACACTTTCAAATAGTTTATTTTGCTTGTCCAATGCACGGAAATGATGCACCAGTTTCACCTAATCAGATTTTTATATTTTTAACTGCATATTCTTTTCGATTTGGAATTAATTTGGCAACTTATGATTTTCTTGGATTTTATAAGCATAGAAAAATCCCAAAAGAAGAAAATGTTTACATTTTTTAAATTCAAACAATTCCGCTTTCTCAGGCTGGAAATATGGATTACGTACAACGACAGACGCGACAATCTGGTCTTCTCACTTTTCCCCATCCAGTCGTCTGTGCAGTCAGTTTAGTCTAATCTGAGCTGAAAGGCTGCATATAGCTAATCTGCTTCCATGGCACTGATTTCACGAGGGATTATCAAGAAAAATAAAATTCAATGCAAAAAAAACGCAGCCCAGTTCGTGAGCAGTATATGGTACGGAAGAATAAGCGTCCACTGCGCTATACGATCAAGTAGCAATCTAAACACCACAATATTTATTCCAATGAGGGTTATTGTCTTTGAGAGGTGATGATGTGTTGGACACGACAAACACTGCCCTCTCGAGAATCATCTGAGAAAAAGCAATTACGAAAATCATATACATTTTATCACCAGTCTTTGCCTGGAACTCTCTCTGGAATATGAGGTTTCACGACCAGTTCTACAGACGCTGTAACAAATATTGATATTTGTCATAGAACCGTAGGAGAGACACACGGTACGGTAATTGTGAAAAGTAGGACGCAAAACTTAATTAATTTCCTTTTTTACGATACTTGTGTCCAAAAAAATAATATAGTGACGTGTGACGCATTCCTCATCCACACGTCAAACATGACGCTCTTGAGGTGCGCGTTTGATCGTTGAGGTTCAAGGGCAGTTAGTTATTCTTTTCGAGAACCGTAAACCCAACAGGAACTCTCCGCCTTTCCCAAGTCTCTTCCTAATGCAATATTGAATATAAACAAACTTAGTAACATATAATAAATCATGATGAAATAGACTGATATTGTAATCATTAGAAGTGTAAACATGTCACTATTCATTATTCTGCTAATACTTTCTGTTTATAACATGTGGTTCTTGTTATAGATAAGAACCGTAGTGGATCAAATACGGAATTTGAAACTGATCTTGGAGCTAGAAACTGAACTATTTTAGGACCTAATTCTCGTAAACTGTACTAAAATAAATCCATATTTTAAGTAATGCAGTTGTGTGATTGCATAATAGAATTAAATTTAAAATTATATAATTTACAGTCAGATCACTAAATTCAATAAAGATAGCTTGCCAGGCAATGTAATATACGCCCACTGGCAGTTTTGATTTTGAATAAAAATATTGAGCAGTAAAGTAACAATCACCAGTATGAAATAGTCAACCTTCAGTCATACACTTCTTTTGAACTCTTTAGAGCGATAATGAATAATATGGAGTATGAGTTATTTCCCGTGTTCAATTTTTAGCTCGTGAAAACTCTAGAAGGTAAATATTCAATCTTCAGCGCGGGAATGAACAATAAAACCAAGTTTTGTCAAAATCCAGCAAGAATCATGCCTTTTAGTGTTTAAGAGCTAAATTTCAAAGCGTTTTCAAGAACAAAGGCAATAACTCATACTAAATATTTTTAAATTCTTCTGATTTTCAATAGGGTTCATCCTTGGGTGATTACGAACACTCACACCAAGTTTCGTCAAAATCCATGAAGAATTGTGCCTTCTAGAATGATTACGAGCTAAAAATAGAACGAGTTTTCAAGAACAAGGGCAATAACTCATACTAAATATTTTTCGATTCTTCTGATTTTCAATAGGGTTCATCCTTGGGTGATTACGAACACTCACACCAAGTTTCGTCAAAATCCATCAAGAATTGTGCCTTCCAGAGTGTTTACGAGCTAAAAATTAAACGTGTTTTCAAGAACAAGGGCAATAACTCATACTAAATATTGTTCGGTTTTTCTGATTTTCAATAGGGTTTATACTTGTTGATAACAAACACTCATGCCAAGTTTCGTCAAAATCCATCAAGAATTGTGTCTTCTAGAGTGTTTACGAGCTAAAAATTGAACGCGTTTTCAAGAACAAGGGCAATAACTCATACTAAATATATTTCGGTTCTTCTAATTTTTAATAGGGTTCATCCGTGGGTGATTACGAACACTCATGCCAAGTTTCGTTAAAATCCGTCAAGAATTGTCCCTTCTAGAGTGTTCACGAGCTAAAAATTGAACGCGTTTTCAAGAACAAGGGCAATAACTTACATTAAATATTTTTCGATTCTTCTGATTTTCAATAGGGTTCATCCTTGGGTGATTACGAACAAGTTTTGTCAAATTCGTCAAGAATTATGTCTTGTAGAGTGTTAACGAGCAATTGTGGACAATATACGCCCCCCATTTCATATATAAATCAGCTTAAATTGAGACTAGTCATAATGGACGTAATACTACACAATTAGGGCCAGTTCTAATGGACTTAATGTTCGAGAAATTGGGGCTATTATAATGGACTTTGCACGTAGTCAAGACACATAACAAAAGCAGATCTACTAAGAATATAAGACTTATATTCTGTTATCACAAACTGCTTCACACAATATTGCACGATTTGGAGCTGGAAATGATCTACCAAAGGCTCTTTGGTACAATGAAAATCTCTGTAAAAGTGTTCATTATTTTCTGGTTTATATCTGCGAAGAAGTTAATCAATGCTCCTTTGGATCATTTATTTTTCAGTAGGAGTGGAAAACATTATGGTTAACTTCCGTAAGTTCACAGTATGATAGGCCTATATACATTAACGACAGAAGTATTGACTTGACCATTGAAGGTGCCCACGCAAAATGTTTAGTCATCCATGATTAAGTAGTTCGACTGTCATTGTTAACAAAGTCAAAAAGTTATTACCGCCAGACAAATAGTTAATTAAAGATCCATTTCTAATCTCCGCTCACCATGATGTCTTAATTGTTATTTTCTTTTGATATCTAGAATTCTCATTATCATACATGGGTAAATAAGAGATTTCGTAATTTTCTTAAGGAATACAACGTGAGCTCTGTTGGATCCAAAAGCTCTGAGTAGTTGATTTTCGACTTGCCATGTAGCTAGATCGTTACAAGCTGACGTTGGCTGATCACATCTTGAACGACATTCGAGCTCACGCAGATCCTAGCTCAAATTCTCAAATATAAAATGATGTCAAGACCGACCAATTTTTACTTTTACTCATGAAAATATGCAATGTAATTTTTCCCATAGAAATTATAAAAACTAAATATCT